TTAATGATCTCTTCCACGCCAGCCTTTCCCGCCCGAGGAGGCTTCCGCGCTAAAGAACCGGCAACGTGGGGCCTCAATGCTGAGTCATGCAGGATAATCCCAGGATAACAAAGGGAGACCAAATACAGAGTGGAAAGGACATCTGGACTCCCGGATGCCAGGCGAAACAAGTCTGTGACCTGAGGCTTTCCCTTGCCCCTGGATCTGATTCATTATCTCCACACAATTTTTCTTCCAGTTTAAGTAAATTAAATGGGATGACACTATCAAGCAGGGGTTGATTAATAAAGGTTTGGGAAATAAAGTAGTTGCTTCCTTATATTTCGTGGGGGGCGAGGGGGTGAAGGGTAGCCATGCGCTGCAGAATGAGAACCTATCTTTTAGGTTCTTAATGAAGAGGGAAAATGAACAGACACATTACCTGTTGGTATTTGCAAATAGTCTACAAACTTCTGGGGCAAATTCCCTCCAGACACTCCAGACACCCAACAGACAAGTGGGTCCCAACCCAGAGTTACTGCAAGGGATTCCCGTCTATGTCTTGTTTTCTCAGTCAGCAGACACTATAATGAGCAGGTACTTAAAAAGCTCTGATGGCAAGTGGCCTTCCTTCTCAAAAAGGTTGAGATTTACACAGAAAGAGATTTCCAACCTTCCTCAGTTTGCCAAATTCCAACTTAAAATGTGTGTTAAATGTAATGTAGGAGGAAATATAGTTGAGCATAATTACTATGTGAAAGAAAGATCTATGTTTGGCAATAGAGATTTTTTGGGGGTGGGGGAGGAGCTAGATATCCTTAATTCTGACAAGCAAAACCCATCAAGGGGTAAAAATGCGTTATCAGCACGGTGTCAGGTACAAAACGATACTAGGAGCAACTCCAACCTTGGAATACAAGTGTGAAACAGGGCAGAGGAAAGAACAAGTTATCTGAAGTCAGAAGACCCAGGACTGAGTGCAGCAATTCCAGCCACTAGCTCTGTAAGCTTAGACAAACCCAAGGTCACCTCCTCATTTGTAGAATGTAGTAAATAAAGACATAAATGCTTTCAAAGTAGTCGGGCTCAAATTAGATAATGGACGGAGAAGTGCTTTACCAACTGGAAGGAGTTAAAGAAAGGGTACTCGTTATCACGATTGTAATAAAAACTGACTTTTCTGTTTCTACTGCAGTTTTACTCACACACAATTGTCCATTGCATTTCTGGTAACTCTTGCCCTTCAGTGATGTTGCCACCAAAGAGCAATAAAACGTTTTGGTTCACTTGGCAGGAATTACAAGATGATTTCTCCGACTATCCATCTTGCAACTGTGAATTTCCCCCTTCTGTCCTCTCAGTTGTACAAGTCTATGATTCCACTTCCACTTCCCTTGAAGGGAATTCCCACAGATGTCAACCCCTGGCCTTTACAAGTTCATTTTTCTTCTCCTGCAGGAGGCAAAGGCTAGGAGGGAATGAGGTGGTCTCTCTGCTCTCAAAGTATCAGACTTCCTCCACAAAGGGGTAATTTTCCAATTGTAGCATGAAGAGCACAATATCACTTCATCTCACACCAGAGGGAAAGGACTGGTAAAACTACTTTAGTTGGGATTTCTTCATCTCCACTAAATGCCCAGGAAGGCGAGTGAGCTGAGAGACAGGGTGCACAGAGTGAATTACACTTGGGCTCAGAAGACCTTTTTAGGACTCATCCTGAGACAGGAAGTGATGAAATCAGCTGTCACATGAACTGAGAGGCTGTCATGTGCACTTACCCACTTCCTGTCTCGACTGGTTTAAGAGGAGGATGGTGAGGGGAAAGCAGAGCTTGGGGAAGTAGGTTGTGGGGAGAGGGAAGAAGAGGCTCATGAGAGGCTGTGGGAAAAGTCCCAGTGCTGTCCCTTACCCCTGTTCCCTCATCCTTCTGGGGCTGAGATAAGTAAGCTGGTTTCTTTCTACTCTCCACCCCTTATTGTGAAAAGCAGCTGAGTTGAATTACATCCTCTTGTGCTACTGAAAATGCTAACAGAAGAAAGTACAAACTACAGCCTGCTTGTTGTTTAGTTTAGAGTCCAAGTGTGGACGTTTACGAATCTTCTGCTTTACCCTAAGTCCACTCCGAAGAGTCAAGTGGAAGAAGGTATAGAAAGGGTGGGTGATTCCAGTAGGCAGGCTCCAGGTTTCCTCTATCTCCCTGGGCCAACCTTATTAATAGTTATTATTCTCATCTCATCCATTAGGGAGAAGTGACAGAGTTAACGGAGAGATAATTTCAGAGGAATGTTGGTAGTACCGTCCCAAAGGCAACGGACAGTATCACAGTGGGAATGCATACTGGGTGTGGTCAACAGGAAGCCAGTGTGTAAGGTACATGATTTCAGGCCTGTAGGCCCTACTCATTCTTGCCAAGGTTCAGGCCCTCTTCTCGTGGTATCAATATCATAACAAGAAAAGCCACAGGCAAACGAAGCAGATGGTAAGCAAAGGTGGGGCAACATGGGGTCTCAGGAGGGAAGGATTGGGGAAGAGTCTGAGTGAGATTTGCACTGTGAACAAAGATGGACTCAAAAGATTCTATTTGGTTGCAAAAAAAATTTTGAATTTTGTGAAGAAACACGTGCTTAGTGACATCCTGGGTGATGCTGACCGGCTGACCCTCCCACTGTCACTTCACCCCCTGTGCACTTTGGATGTCCCACCAGTCCTACCCAGTGGCCACTGCTGGGAAAGAGACCCTGGCAGGGAAACAAGAGCTTATCCAGCAGGAGCTGGATTTGGAACACTGGTTTGGTGGTGGCCTTGATTATCCCAGGCCCCTCCTGTCACTGCCAGAGGTGTGTGCTCAGCCCCACCACAATTGACAGAGGAGTCAACTGAAGCCACCTGGAACCTACAATTTGAAAGTCATGGACAATGCCAGGCTCTGGGATAATCTTCCTGGCAAACTACAAAGTTGTAGAAAGCAACTTTTTTCCCCAGCTCATTTATAAGTTAGACAAAGTTACTTTTTTTAGCACAGTAGTAAAGTAGAAAGTTAAAGAATAGATACAGAGACCCCAAGTTGGACCTTAAAAACTTGGACTATGTCAAGATAAGGCTTTATGAGGTAAGCCACGCAAAATCAAATAAAAAATACCCATGTGACAAATTAAAGTCCTTCTCCAGGTATGGTACACACCCCGATGGGCATAATTTCCATATAACCGTAGACCCTATACAACGCTATAGAACTGCAGGCACACACAGATCCGACCCTCCGCCGCACTGGAACTAGGACCACTCAGGCTTCCAGGCCACATGGCCCACTTTTCCGTATTTCTATCAGCCCCCTTCCCTTTCTGAGAAGTGGATACAACCAACCTTCACTACATTCCTCAAGTGTCTCATCCACGGGGGATGCCGAACTTGCCGTCCCAATCAAGGGCCTTCTTGATCAATGTCAAGTGTGACAATTTCTGCTTTCTCCATTTCTGACCCCCTATCTACATAGGATCTAGAGCTGCATCCATCCAAGTAATCATCCTCTTACTATAGAGCAGTGGTTTTCAAACTATGGTCTTGGAACATTTGGAGTCTACAGATCTTCTCAGGGGCCAGTGTAGAGAGTCTGAGAAAAGTCAGGGCTGTTGGACTCTTTCCCTTCCCCCAGTTCTACCATAGCAATCTTATTTCATTCCACATTAGAGGTTGGGGTTCCAGACCACCTTTGAATTTCTTACTCAGATAAGGAACCTATGAAAGCTTGCCAGGTTTGGGTAGATGAGCTGGGGGCTGAGCTGGGGGACTTCATCACACACCTTTACCAGAATGATAAAGGTGGGGACTGTCATCCCCAAGATTCCCTCAGCTTCCACCAAGAGGCTCTGAAGTGCTTGTGTCCATGCCAGTCTGAGATCAGATTAGACCCCCAACAACATCTCCTAAAAACAGGAATTACCATTCCAATATTTGATGTGTGAATAAACGGACTTCCTAAGTGGTTATGGCTATCGAGTCAGAGCCACGAGCCACGACACAACGCCAGTTTTCGGACACTGATCCCCAACTCAGCCCAAGATACGCTACTGTAGAACATGGGTTCTGATCCTCTCTTTCTTGAAGAACTTTACCGCGTACTAATTCTTTCCTTTGAGCTCATCTTCCCAAGAAGGCCTTATCAATTTCCCAACTTAAAGAGGGTCTGAGGGAAGAAATGGGAGTAAGATATGAAGATCATAAAGGCAACCCTTTCCTGGAACTTCTGGAAATCTCTTGGGCCACTTCAGGCTTTATGGCACATGCCCTTCCCAACATGAACTACCCATGGCTGGTATCGAGAAACAAAACAAGCAAATTACTGAAAATGACTAACAGATACAATTAGACTATTAATATTCAGTAGCTGGCATCCTTCAAATGCACATTTCTTTGACACACCAGGTAAATTGCTGGGTTTCTGGGTAACTTCCCTCTGCCCTTAAATGTGCTTTAGGAAATGTGTGGTTCCAAATGAAACAAACTTGCAACTTCTGGGTTAGCACTAGAAATAATATAAATGAATATTTCTTAGAACCCAAAAAACGTATCCAGCAAGAAGAATAAGGGAAAGAATACAGTTCCTCTGTTTTCAAGAATACTAAGGACTTAAAAGTACCTGTACCTTAGGTTAGTAACTTACTACTGCATGCACATCACTTAGAATGTGCTGTGCTCAGACCGCTTGGGACTGCGTCTCCAAAAAGCAGCAACAAGTGACCCCTTCCCTCGCACTGTCTCTCTAGCTGGTGCAGACGTGAACCTAAGAGACTGCCTTGTTTTAGGGAAGGTGACAGCCAAGCCAGAGCCGGACACATGCACACACACGTGCCTTCAGTGTGAAACATCCATCATTCTCTCCAAGGAAGTGCACTTTGCAAGGCCTTTTTCTGGGAACCACTACTGGGAAACAGCCAGTACAAATGCCTTCTCCCTGGAACATCGTGACTCGGAAGCGGGAGTCTCCACGAACTTACATGCACCCTGGGTTTTTAATACTTCACCTGGGCAGAAAAGTCAATTAGCTTGGGAAGCAGCACCTTGCCCCCTTCGTCACTCTTCAGGAAATCCAGCAAACTGCCTGTTGGTAGAGGAGGGACCGGTGAGTGTAGTTCAAACACACAAGACCAAAATCCAAACAAAAGTCAAAGGACCATGACTATTAGTGAGGGAGTGCACACAATGATTGCCTTTGCGATTCTGTATGGCCATAGTGCCTTTTCCTGAAGTTGGTCAAATCCAGGCCCCTCTAACCTGTTACCTTCGACCTGATGTGAAATGTAGCGTATGGGCCAGGTAAGAAAGGGTGATGGCGGCGGGGTGGGGGAACAGTGTTTCTCTAGCTCTGCATTTCAGGGCACTTTGCACCTGCCACCACAATCCACCTAGAGCAGCTGTCTGATCTTCAGAGCTGCCCAGAGACAGAAACCAGCAGGTCCTTCCAGGGGGCCTGCCTGCAGCGGCACTGGGAGAGGCTCTCTCCTATCTGTGTCCAGCCAAAGCACAGAAGCTAGCGCCTGCGACAGGGGCTCAATGAGTAGCTGGTGAACATACTGTGCTTTGTACCTAAAAGAAAGTGTGTCGATAAGCCCTCCTACTTCCTACGGCTTCATCGCTAAAACAAGCCCTGCTTTTTCTCCTAGAATTTAAAGTGTCAACCTTGGACAAGCTGCTTACCCATAATGCCTTAGTCCCTGTAAAGAGGGCATGTCCTACCAGCTATTGTCAGAGGTCTTGTGAGGACAGATTTAAGAAGCACGCGCCAGGGTGCCTGGCGAGTGGTTAAGTACCCAGTAAGTGTTCTGCTCCTTCATCCTCAACACAGAACAATGGCACTTAGCTCTGAGACTGCTAAGAAGATTAAGAGATATCACCCAAGGAACACATCAAGAACACTCTGGTATACAGGAAGTACTCAGTAAAAGCTAAGTGATGTTATGAGGAGAAATTTGTATTTACATTTATGATTCAAATACTTCCAGCCGCTTAATACAACAAGTACTTACTGAACCACAAAGTTCAGTTTCTGGGTTATGGCAACCTAAGCCACAGGGGTAGTTTTTTTGTTTGTTTTTAAACAACATCCTTTTTTTGGAAGGACTCTCAGTGACTAATACTCTGAAATATTTACATATATTAAATAAGAAAATGTTATGTTCATCTTTCTAATCTACTCAGCGGAGACATCACAGTATGATCTCCATGATGCAGGATTCTTAATTTGGTACTATTGTTTATTTTATTTTATTTTTTTTTCCTTTCTTCCTTCATTCCTTCTAAAGAATTTTAAAGAACCATTTGGTAGTTTGGTAGTATGTCTAACTGATCTGGAGGAAGAAGGGTAGTAATTCACACCCTGTTATCTAAAGGTAATATCAGCCAGAGAAAACATGGTTGCTGGACACCTCTTGGTTAGTGATTCTGATTACAGAGGAATATAACCTCCAACAGTTTCAAAAATGTTCCCATTTTAAAGTGACACCCTGAACACGTAGATAATATTAGAGAGGGAAATGAATGCATTTTAGAATCCTGAGAACTCCCATTTTAAAGATATAACAAAAATATTCTTATTTGAGATACATATTTTTTGGACAAATATTTATTAGGGGGCTTCTACATTTTGCATGCAATTCTTATGGCTAATATGACTAAGAAGACAAACACAGAGAATATAGAAAGATCATGTATTATTTCTATAATATAGATAACACTTAACAATATTTCTGGTGAGGTGGTTTATTAAAATGCTTGGTTTCCCCATGGGTTCTGATTTTTCACTAGTGAGCATGCTGTTTTGGAATTAAAATTATTGGAATATTCTGTGAACATTTAAACTTTTTACTTTGGGACACCGGAGTGGCTAGGTCTGTTAAGCATCTGCTTTTGGCTCCGGTCAGGATCCCAGCGTCCTGGGATCGAGGCCCACATGGGGCTCTCTGCTTAGCGGGGAGTCTGCTTCTCCTTCTACTCCTCCCCTCACCCCCTGTTCGTGATCTCTCTCTCTTTCAAATAAATAAAGATCTTTAAAAAAAATTTTTTTAAATAAACGTTTTACTTTTGGAGCCTGAAGCCTTTCAAAAGCCCTGGGTTTGGAGGATGTGCTTACCCTTGGCCATGTACTCAGTGATGATATAGATAGGCTCTTCTCTGGTAACCACGGCATAGAGCCTCACCAGCTTGTCATGCTGAAGGGTTTTCATGAGGTTGGCTTCCTCCAGGAATGCTTGCACAGACATAGTGCCCGGTTTCAGGGTTTTCACAGCCACTTTGGTACTATTGTTATAGTAACCTAGCAAGACAGCAGAAGAGAGGATATGTTTGATCCAACTGAAAACCAAAAAGTTCATGCAGGGTTAAAAGATAGAGAAAAAAACTGACATAAAACTCTAGACAGTGTTAACATGAGGGGAGGCCAAGTCAAGGGTGTATGAGAATTCTCTGTACCATCTTTACAAAAAAATCTAAAATTATTGCAAAATCAACAAGGTTTCATAAAGCATTATTTTGGAAAAATAAAACCCCACAAGCTTCTGTATGCAATCCATCATGGGGACAAAGATTTTCCTCTAATGAATAAAATGTTCTTTATCCAAAAACAAACAAACAAAAAAATGCATAGCACAGCTCTCTTACACACACACACACACACACACACACACACACTCACAGGTCTGGAAGAAAACACTAAAATATGCCAAGTGCCAGCCATCTCCAGTGGCACAATTAAAGTGCCTTCATTTGTGTTCACGATACTTTTAACTACCAAATTTTCTACATTGAATATGTATTATTTTTGTAATCAGGAAAAAAAAGGTTTGCATTTTAAGAAATTGTATATACTAACTTTGAAGTATAATATACTAGAGTCAAATAAGCGTCTCCTCAAGCTTCCCAAGAGAACTGGACTTGAGTGACTCTCCATGAGCAAAGGCTTCTGTATCAAAATGTCTGGGACCCACCGCTTGCCACCCCCTCCCATGCCCAGAAGCAGAGAGTCCTGCAGTAAAGAAACCTGTCAGCCCTGGCTAACCTCAGTGCTTTCCACACCTTCTTGACCACAGGACACACTGTCATGTACCTTTTCACACCCTGCGAAATGCACTTTGGGAAATACTAACACCTTCATATAGTTTCCCCAAGGTCCCTTTTTCTGGAACCTGCCCCAATGGTGTGCTTAATTCTGAACCTCATTTTCTCCTGGAGCCCCCTCTTCTCAGTGGTTTGACAAAGCAGAAATAGAGATAATCACATTCCCCTTTCCTTTCCTCTCTTTCTGTACTTCTCTTGGAAGTGCAAGAAAAAGGTGAGGGGGGAGTGGCAGCAGGTTCCCTGCGGGTTGTTCTACCCCTATTACAGTTTTTGTTTTGTTTAACTTGCCCTACGAAATGGTGATGTCTAGGGTCTAGTGTCTAGTCTCTTTGTTAGATCATATAACTATCTGTGTCTGTACAGAGCACACAGATGACTGGAAGCATGCTCAATAAAACATCAACAGCGATGAGGATCTCTGGGTGGCAGAAATTGGAGTGACTTGTACTTTCTTTTGTTCTGTCCCATTTTGATTCATTTTGTGAATGAGTATGTATCTTTCTTTACAAAGGGAATTTTTTTTAAGGAAATTACGTCTCTATTTCCACACTTCCAAATGTGTCAGAAAAAGTATTAGTTTATAGCTAACAGTTGACCATACTTACTAACTTTTCTTCTGATCATTGATACTTATTACTCCATTAGAACTTTTCCCTTGATATTTTACTTTGATTTGTATTTAATAGTAGCTTATAGTGTTGTACAGGAAAATGAAAAAATGTAACATGTGAAGTAAAGTAAGTGTTAGAATTATGGAGAAGCCAGTAATAGAAAGTTGACAAAATAGAAAACTGTACTAGGTTATTTTCAAAAGCCACAACCTATAAAAAATAATGGAATCATCAATCTATTAAATTGATTTTCCATTTAAATGCATAATTACACACAATATGATCTTTCTTATAGATCTTAAGTGTAAATTTAGAGTAAATGCCACCAATAAAAGTCCTTTAACATTGCATTTGAACCAACAAAAGTCATTATCTCAAAACTACAATGAGATTCACCTCACACTTGTCAGAATGGCTAAAATAAAAAAGAAAAAACATTAAGCATTGGCCAGGATGTGGGGAAAAGGGAACCCTATTGCACAGTTGGTGGGAATGCAAACTGGTATAGCCACTGTGGAAAATGGTATGGGGGTTCCTCAAAAAAAAAAAAAAATTAAAAATGAAACTACCCCATGATCCAGGAATCGCACTATTGGGTATCTACCCCTAAAATATAAAAACACTAATTCAAAGGGAAACATGCACCCCTACGTCCATAGTAGCATTATTTAAACAGCCAAACAATGGAAGCAGCCCAATTGATAGATTAATGGGTAAAGAAGATATGAGGTATCTTCTTTACACACACACACACACACACACACACACACACACACACACTGGAATACTATTCAGTCATAAAAAAGAATGCAATCTTGCCATCTGCAACAACATGGTTGGAGCTAGAGGGTATAATGCTAACTGAAATAAGTCAGAGAGAGACAAATAGCATATGATTTCACTCATATGTGGAATTTAGGAAACAAAACAAACAAGCAAAGAAAAAAAAAGAGAGAGAGACAAACCAAGAAATAGACTCTTAACTGTTGAGAACAAACTGAGGGTTACCAGAGGGGAGACGGAGGGTGGGAAGGGTGAAATAGGTGATGGGGATTAAGAGCACACTCATCATAAAAAAATTAAAAATTAAAAAAATTAAAATAAAAAAGATTCATTATAAATTTAAAGGTTTATATGCAGGTATTCAGTTACAGGAATAAATCTAATAAATGAATTTAGGAAGTCAGAGGATACAAAGTTAATAAACAGAAATCTGTTGTATCTCTATATACTAATAGTGAAGTAGCAGGAAGAGTAGTTAAGGAAATAATCCCATTTATAATTGTACCAAAAAGAATAAAATATCTAGGAATAAATTTAACCAAGAAGGTAAAAGACCTATACTCTGAATACTATAAAACACTGATGAAAGAAATTAAAGATGATATAAACCAACAGAAAGATACACTGTGCTCATGGGTTAGAAGAATTAATATTGTTAAAATGAACTTACTATGCAAAGCAATCTATAGATTCAATGTAATCTCAATCAAAATGCCAATAGCATTTTTTACAGAACTAGAACAAATAACTTGAAAATTTGTATGGAACCACAAAAGACCCTGAATAGCCAAAGCAATCCTGAGAAAGAACAAAGCTGGAGGCATCACAATCCCAGGTTTCAAGGTATAGCACGAAGTTATAGTAATCAAAACAGTATGGTACTGGCACAAAAACAGACATACACATCAACAGAACAGAATAGAGAGCCCAGAAATAAACTCATACTTGGATGGTCAATTAATCTATGACAAGGCAAGAATATATACAACGGGGAAAAGATAGATTTTATAATAAATGGAGTTAAGAGAATTGGACAGCTACAGGCAAAACAATGAAACTGGACTACTTTCTTATACCATACACAAAAATAAACTCAAAATGGATTAAAGACTTAGATATAAGACCTAAAACTATAAAACTCCTAAAAGAAAACATAGCCAGTAAACACTTGGACATCAGCCTTCACAACATATTTATAAATATGTCTCCTCAGGAAAGGAAAACAAAAGCAAAACTAATCTACTGGGACTACATCAAAATAAACAGCTTTTGCATAGCAAAGGAAACCATCAACAAAATGAAAAGACAACTACTCAGTGGGAGAAGATATTTGCAAGTGATATATCCAATAAGGGGTTAATATTCAAATATATAAGGAACTTCTATAGCTAAACACCAGAAAAAACAAATAATCTGATTAAAAATGGGTAGGGGACCTGAACAGACATTTTTCCAAAGAGAACTACAGACATATGAAAAGATGCTCAACATCACTAATTATCAGGAAAATGCAAATCAAAACTACAGTGAGATCTCACTTCACACCTGTCAGAAAGGCTAGTATCAAAAAGACAAGAAACAATAAGTGTTGGTGAGGATGTGGAGAAAAAGGAACCCTCATGCACTGTTGGTAGGGATGTAAATTTGTGCAGCCACTGTGGAAAACAGTATGGAGGTTTCTCAAAAAATTAAAAATAGAAATAACCATATGATCCAGCAATTCCACTTTTGGGTATTTACTCAGAGAAAATGAAACACGAATTGTGAAAGATAAATGCACGCCTATGTTTCTCACAGCATTATTTACAATAGCCAAGATATGGAAGCAACCTAAGTGTCCATCAGTAGATGAATAGATTAGGAAGTGGTAGACACACGTACACACACACACGTACACACACACAGGAATTTACTCGGCCATAAAAAAGATGAGATCTTGCCATCAGCGACAGCATGAATGGACCTAGAGACCATTATGCTAAGTGAAATATGTCAGACAAAGAAAGACAAATACTATATGATTTCACTTTGATGTGGAATCTAAAAAAAAACAAATGAAGAAACAGCAACAACAAAAAATAGACTCAACAGAGAACAAACTGATGGTTGCCAGAGGGGAAGGGGGTGTGAGGAAGGGCAAAATAAGTGTAGAGAATAAAGAGGTACAATGTCCAGTTATAAAATAAATAAGTCACGGAGATGAAAAGGAGAGCACAGGGAATATTGTCAATAATATTGTAACTACATTACGTGGTGACAGATGGTGACTGCACTTACCAGGGTGAGCAGTGAGTAATACACAGAATGGTCAAATCACTATTTTGTGCATCTAAAAGCAATATAACATTGTGTGCCAACTATCCTCCAATAACAAATACAAGAAATAAATTACATAAAATGGAAAAAAAAAAGGTTTATACATAGGTCCTCAGTTACATGATTGTACCAGTGGCAAAACAGCAAGAAAATACATTCTTTGACACATGTAAATGACAAAGGACTAGTGTCCAGAATATATAAAGAATTCCTATGAATCAATAAGAAAAATTGGAAAATAGGCAAAGACTTGCATAGATATTTTAGAAAGAAGTCCACTGGGTGATGGACCTTAAGTAGGGCAAGTGATGTAATGGACACTGGCTGTTATATAAGACTGATGAATCACGAACTCTAACTCTGCAACTAACAATACACTATATGTTAATTAATTGAATTTAAATTAAAAAAAAAAAAGAAGTCCCAATGGCTAAGAAACATGTAAAAAGATCTCAATCTTATTAGTAATCAGAGACATACAAACAAAGCC